TCGGGCTCTGGGCTGATGGCTCAGAGCCTGGAGCCTGTTTCCGATTCTGTGTCTCCCTCTCTCTCTGCCCCTCCCCCGTTCATGCTCTGTCTCTCTCTGTCTCAAAAATAAATAAACGTTAAAAAAAAATTAAAAAAGTTTAAAAATTTTTATGTTTGTTTATTTTTGAGAGAGAGACAGAGCATGAGCAGGGGAGGGGCAGAGAGAGAGGGAGACATGGAACCTGAAGCAGGTTCCAGGCTCTGAGCTGTCAGCAGAGAGCCTGATGTGGGCTCGAACCCACAAACTGCAAGATCATGACCTGAACTGAAGTTGGACCCTTAACTGACTAAGCCACCCAGGCGCCCCCCTTATTATATTTTTTTAAGTTCATTTATTCTGAGAGAGAGACGAGGGAGGAGAAGAGAGAGAGGGAGAGAGAGAATCACAAGCAGGCTCTGCACCATCCACGCAGAGCCTGATGCAGGGCTTGAACCCACAAGCTGAGATCATGATCTGAGCTGAAACCGAGAGTCGGATGCTTAACTGACTGAGTGACCCAGGCACCCCAACTATCATTATTTTTGTTGATGTTGTTATGCTTTCATTTTGAGGGTTTTGAATGGCTAAAGCCCTCCCACTGTGGCATTGGGCATATTGCTGTTCTCTGGCACAAAGTTTCTGAGTGGTCTGGGGTCCTGTGACAGGCACATAAGTAACATTCAGGGTGTGTATGATTCATTTCTCCTGTTTTCCTCCCCTTTGCTTTTCATGCCTTCCAAACTCATCTATTATTTCTTTTCACTCTCCTTTCGCCTCTTTGCCTTTCTCTGGATTTCACAAACATTTCCTGAGTACCTTGCACAAGGCAATGAGGATGCAGACGCAAAAGACAGTCCCCTGGCCTCCGGGAGCTCAAAGACCCGTGCAGAAGACAGGAAGGTTACCAGATCATTACAACAAAGTGTGTCGGTGGGCAGCCCACAGAAAAGCCATCAAACTTGGCCTGGGGGAGGGGTGTCAGGCATTAAGTGTTGAGGGAAAGAAGATGGCGAGGAGTATTCCAGATGGAGGGAACGGTATGTGCAAGGACTGGAGGTAAAAAAGTATGAAGTATGCCAAGAGGTGCAATTGGGTACAAATAGAAGGAGCAGAGAAGAGGCTTGGGAGGTAAGCTGAGAATACATTCTGAAGGGTTTAAAACCAAGAAAAGAAGTTTTGTTTCTTTCTAATTATAATGGGGAGCCACCAACAATTTTTATTTTTTCTTTTTTAAGTGTTTTATTTTGTATTTATTTTTTTGCATTTATTTTGTATTTATTTTGTATTTTTGTATTTATTTTTGTATTTATTTTGTATTTATTTTTTTAATGCTTTATTTTTTGGGCACCTGGGTGGCTCAGTTAAGCGTCTGACTTCGGCTCAGGTCATGATCTCATGGCTTGTGGGCTCGAACCTCGTGTTGGACCCTGTGTTAACAGCTGGGAGCCTGGAGCCTGCTTCCCATTCTGTGTCTCCCCCTTTCTGCCCCTCCCCTGCTCGCACTCTGTCTCTTTCTCTCTCAAAAATAAACAAAAAATAGGGGCGCCTGGTGGCTCAGTCGGTTGAGCATCCAACTTCAGCTCAGGTCACGATCTCGTGGTCTGTGGGTTCGAGCCCCGCGTCTGGCTCTGTGCTGACAGCTTGGAGCCTGTTTTGGATTCTGTGTCTCCTTCTCTCTCTGCCCCTCCCCCATTCATGCTCTGTCTCTCCTTT